CGAGGAGTCGCCAGTAAGCCGTAACAGGTTAAGCGTGTGAAGCCGCACGCATCTCCCATCTTTTCCTCACCCCAACCTCCCCTACTCTGCTTTCCCCGGCTCTCTCTACGCGCCTTACTCTGCTCCACATCCATTTCCCCTTATTCCTTCCCACCTCCCGCCACGTATAAACGGTCTCAAACATATGCACTAACGGTGCGAGCATGCGTAATCTTCCCTCCCCTTGTCCTCCTCCTCGTATCTCCCCCCTCGCCTCCCCGCGTAACGTACGGTCGACGGTGGAGCCACCACGTATCTGCACGATTTGTCGTGGGCAGCCCGCGCGAGCGTGCGTATCTCCCCATCCTCAACCCTTCATCCATCTCCTCCCCTCATCCTACTGCCTCCTGCCTCCTCCTCCCCCCATCCCTCCCCGCGTACGTACCGGGTCGACGATAGAGCCACGTATCTGCACGATGTTTGTCGTGGCGCAGCCGCGCGAGCGTGCGTATCTCCCCTCCCTCCCCTCATCCCATCTCCTCCATCCTCATCCTACCTCCCCCTCCTCCTCCTCCCCCCTCTCCGTACCCCGCGTACGTACGGTCGACGGTGGAGCCGCGTATCTGGCACGAGTTGTTTGTGGCGTCAGCCGCGCGAGCGCGTGCGATCTCCCCTCCTCACCCTCATCCTACCTTCCCCTCCTCCATCCCCCTCCTCCTCCTCATCCTACCTTCCACCCCCTCATTCCCTCTCATTCTACCTCCCCCTCCTCCTCTCCCCCTCCCTCCCCGCGACGTACGGTCGACGGAGAGCCGCGTATCTGCACGATGTTGTCGTGGCGCAGCCGCGCGAGCGTGCGTATCCAACCTCCTCCCCCTCATTCCTCACCTCCCCCTCCTCCTCCCTTCCCCCTCCCCTCGCCCCGCGTAGTACGGTCGACGTGGAGCCGCGTACTGCACGATGTTGTCGTGAGCGCAGCCGTGCGAAGGCTGCGTATCTTCCCCTCCTCCCCCTCATCTACCTTCGCCCGGGTCCATGCCTCACCCCTCATCCTACCTCCATTCCTCCCTCCTTCCACCCTCCTCCTCACCGCCTCATCTTACCTTCCCCTCCTCCTCCCCCTTCCCCTCCCACGCGTACGTACGATCGACGGTGGAGCCGCGTATCTGCACGATGTTATTCGTGGCGGCAGCGCGCGAGCGTGCGTATCTACGCCTCCTCCCCCTCCTCCTCCCTTTCCCCTCCTCCCACCGCGTACTATGATCGACGTAGAGCCGGCGTATCTGCACGATGTTGTCGTGGCGCAGCGCGCCGAGCGTGCGTATCTCCCGCTCCTTCACCTCACCCTCTCCTACGCTCCCGGCTCCTCCTCCCCCTATCATCTACCCCTTCCCCTCCTCCTCCCCCTTCCCTCCCCCGCGTACGTACGATCCCCGACCGGGGTTGGCCGCGATTCTGCACGATGTTGTCGTGGCGGCAGCCGCGCGAGCGTGCGTATCTCCCCTCCTCTCCCTCTTCCCTCCTCCTTCCCTCCCTCCCGCGTTACGTACGGTCG